CTGGGACACCAAGCTCCCCAAAGGCGTGTCCTCCAAACCCCTTCTGGCCTCTGTCTATGTGTCCAAGCAAGGCTCAGTCTCAAGGAAGAACAAATTCCCCATCTCACCCCTGTAACTCCCCCACTGGGAAATACTAGGTGGAGCACACAATCACAAGCTGTAAGAGTCATTCAGTATCATCTAAGTCATTTTACAGAGGGGGAAAACTGAGTCCCAGAATGTGTAAGAGAGTAGCAGAACCAAATTTCGAGCCCAAGTCCTCTGACTCCAAATCCAGAGTCCTGTCCACTCCATCAAGCTGACTGAAAGGATCCAGAGCTGGGACAATCTAGCCATGAGCCTAGAAAGGCTTAGAGGGGGCAGAATCCTATCTTCAAGCACCAGAAGGTGGTCCCTGGGCAAGAGGAAATCAGTCTGTTCTATTCAGCCTCTGAGGGCCAAAGAGCCCTGAAAGCATGTTAAGAGAGGGAGATTTTGATCTGCCATAAGAGAGAACCTACTAAAAACCAGAGCATTGTAAATGCCAAATGGGCTGCCCTGGCAATGGTCTTCAGGCAAAAGCTAGGCGACCTCTCGTCAGAGCCACTCTAGTGAATTCCAGGCCAGAGAAAAGTGGGACCAGGGGCCCCAGCCCTCAATCCCTCACAACTCTGAAATCCTTAGCTTCTATGACACAGAGTCAACTCCCTCATTTTACATTAGAGAGAAAAGCAGCACAAAAGGGTCGAGGATTCACAGCCAAAGTCATGCAGGTGGCAAGTGTGAGCGGCAAGATTTGAATCTATCTTCTGACTCCAAACCCCATCTCCTGTCCACTCCATCTCCCCTCCACACTCCTGAGAGGCTCAGCACCTGCATCCTATTCTACCTTTCTGTTCTGTTCCAAGCCCATCCTTTAAAAACCCAATTCAAAAGCTGCCTCCTCCAGGAAGCTCTGCACAATTTCCCCCTTGGTATGAACCCTCTCAGATCCTACACAGTCTCTCTAGTGCACCGTGTTATATTTCAAATGCCGAGTCTTCTTGTAGGTATCTTCTCTCCCCCTCATCGGCTGATTCCAATGCCTGGGACACTCGCCTTCCTCATCTCTGCCTCCTGGTTTCTGTGGCTTCCTTCAAGTCCCAGCTAAAACCCCATCATTTACAGGAGGCCTTTCTCAAGTCTTCATTCTAGTGCCTTCCTCCTGATGGGTATTTCCTATTTATCCTGGATATAATTTGTTTGTGCTCAGCTGTTCATATGCAGTCTCCCCCATTAGACTGTAAGCTCCTCAAAGACAGGGATGGTCTTTTGCCTCTTTTTATATCCCTACCATTTAGCAAAGTACCTGGCATACAGTAGGTGTTTAATAAATGTTTCATGACTGACTGATTAAATCTCAAGCTCCCAAAAAGCAAAGACTATGTCTTCTCTAAACTGTATAACTTCACTCCAAAAGCCCAACATAAAATACTACTTATAGACCGGAAGAGGGAAGGTAGGTGGTGCAGTGGTTAGGGCACTGGACCTGGAGTCAGGAAGACTCATCTTCCTGAGTTCAAATGTGACCTCAGACACTTACTAGCTGAGCGACCCTGGGCAAGTCACTTAACTCTGTTTACCTCAGTTTCCTCATCTGTAAAATAAGCTGGAAGGAGAAATGACAAACCATTCCAGTATCTTTGCCAAGAAAACCCCAAATGGGGTCATGAAGAGTCAGACACAACCAAACAGACTGGAAACTCCTTGAGGGCAGACTCCTTTTCATATCAATCTTTGCATTCCCACCACTAGTTAATGCTGGAAGGCCTTCCTATTTTGAGCACTTCATTTTAGAAGAATTACTGAAGAACAGTTATGACTGTTGGGGGTGGGAAGGTGTTATGCATCACAAAAGCCCTATGTCTTTGGGGAAGGGAAGAAGTAATTTCAAAGGTTTAGGAAAGACCTCTCCCAAGCAGAACCCTAATCATCAGCCAGGATGTCTATAATGCCACCCCGACAGTTTGACAACAAAGAAACTCCTTCAAGACCCCTGCCCCCAAATCCTATGGTCAATGGTTTCCTGGTGCTGCCAAAGCCTCCTGGGTCCACCCCAACCCCTCCCTAAGAGGAGATGTGGGACTGGGAGCTCACTCCTAAAACCAGCCTAGCCCACCTCAGAGCTCACAGAGCCCAGCTCCCAGGTCACTGCATAGTAGGGGCAGCCCCTAAGGCAGGACAGAGTCAGGAGAGAGAAGTTGAACTCTTTGAGTCTAACACTTTCTTCATGGTAACCCCTCACCCCAAGGATAAATCAATACTTCCTCCCAGGCCAATCACCACTCCTCCTAGTTCCTGGACCCTTCTAACCCTGTCCCAAATCACTCCCCACTTTTTCTTCTATGTACCCCTCTCCCCAAGGGTAGCCTAGGAATAGGGGTAATTAGCCTTCGCTAGTTGGAGTGGGCTCTTAGGTGTAGGATTCCCCCTTGCAAGAGGTATAAGAGAGATCCTGGGTCAGTCCTGGACAGCTGAGCCCACTGACTTTGGGGTTCTGAAATATACACATATAAGTATATATTGATAAAGAGGCAACAAGGACTCACATTCTAAGGCCAGGCACTTACAAGCAATGCAACCTTTGAACAAATCACTGCCTCCGAGCCTGCGTCCTCATCCGCAAAGTAGAAGAATAGCCATACTACCCATCTCGAAGGTTTGTTGTGAGGAAAACACATTGTAAACTTTATATAGAAATATAGAAAATTATGATGACAATAATAATAATTCCTTTAAGTTAAAACTGTTTCCTGATAAAATGCACATCTCCATTGCAATAGATAACAGTATCTTTAGAGCTAAAAAAAAAAGGATTTTAGAGACAACCTAATCCAACCTCCTCAATTTACAGAAAAGAAAACTTAGGCCCAGGAAGGGAAGTGTGGTATGGTGGAAAGCACTTATCTCAAGTCAAAAGATCTGGATTAAAATCCAGGTCACACTTACAACCTGTGTGACCTTGGGCAAGTCACTAAATACACACAAATCTAACCCAGCTGATTTCCTGCCAGTCATTTAAAGCCAACTCAATGTCATCTCCTCCAGGAAGCCTTCCTTGATTAGCCCAGGTGGTAAGGACCTTTCCCTCAAACCTCCCATGAGGCTTTGTGCCCAGTGACGTGGGAGAGACAGGAGGCAGACAGCACAAGGGATAGACTGGACAGAGGCTCCCACTCCCTTGCCTCCATCCCATCTCTGGGTGGCTGGAAGGTCTCCAGTTCCTGCTAAGGGATTCTGACAAGCCGCCTCCTCAAGTCCTTGATTACTAAGATCACCTGGCCTGTGTCTGACCACAATCTTCACCAGTGTTTGATTGTCCTGATACTACCCCAAGCTAGAGCCTGGGCGGGGGCCAACAATTTGCTGAGCTTGCTGTTCCAGCTTCATGAACGGCCTCCTGGGGGTCCTCTATCATTCAGGCCCTGCAGAATTCAGTACCAGAGCTGAACACTCACTCTCTCTTTCTCTCTCTCTCTTTCACACTCACACACACACCCCTCCCATACAGATAGATGCACATGCAGGACCCACAGGGGGTCTGGGATAGAGAAGCCAACTTCCTCAAGACTCCTTCCTCCAAATCCTACGGTCAATGGTTTCCTGGTGCTGCCAAAGCCCCCTGGGTCCACCCCAACCCCTCCCTAAGAGGAGATGTGGGACTGGGAGCTCACTCCTAAAGCCAGCCTAGCCCATCCCAGAGGTCACAGAGCCTAGCTCCCAGGTCATTGCATAGTAGGGGCAGCCCCTAAGGCAGGGCAGAGCCAGGAGAGAGGAATTTCACCCTCTGAAGCCAACACTTTCTCCATGGTAGCCCCAGAATTTGACTTCTCTCACCCCAGGGATAAATCAACACTTCCTCCCAGACCAATCACCCACTCCTAGCTCCTGGACCCTCCTAACCCTGTCCCAGATCACTCCCCCCACTTTTTCTTCTATGTACCCCTTTTCCCAAGGGTAGCCTAGGAATAGGGGTAAACAGCCTGGGCTAGTTGGAGTGGGGAAGTGTATATAGGGGATTTCTCCAAGCCCCCGCACCATCTGGAGCCTCAGTGAAAACAGAATAGTTACTAAGAGAGATGATGGAGGTTTGGGGTTGGGAGTCAGTTGGAGCTGGGGTAAACAGCAGTGGGATAGCCTACTGGGGGTGAACTGGGGACACTTGAGGGTCAGGTTTAATGGGACTGAGAGCCCAGAGGAGTAGATGGGAGTGGGGCTGGCAGCCAGTTCCTGTTTGGCAATTGGCAGGGAGGTGAATTTGAGGTAGAGGTTTGGAGAAGCAAAAACCTGGGATTTAGATTGAAGGTATTTAGATTGAAGATGGAACAGAGACCAGATCTTGGCAGTCCTCTCTACTGCTTAAGTGAGGAGTTTGGGGAGAAGGAGGAAGGGGGGCCAGAGAGAATTTGGTGGTCTGACAGGAACGGACTGGACTCTGATGAGGCGGGGAGGGGGGGGGGAAGAGAGAGAGAGAGAGTGTGTGTGTATGTGTTTATGGCTAGTCGAGAGATAAGTACCCTCTTACTATTTGGGAGGTTTGGGACACGGAGGAAGGACAGGTTACTGGGGTGTCCTAGTTGTCTTTCCATTTGGAGAATCTGGAGGAGGGTGAGGATGAAGGGCTAGGGAACTGGCTTTAACTGGAAGGGAGAAGGGCTAGTCCCAATTACCCTGGGACCTTTGGGAATGGGGTAGGGATAAGGTATAGGGGAGGTAGACTGCTCACCTATCTATTAGTCTGGAGTTAAGGTTGGGTCCTTGCTGGGGCTGTGGGGATTTCTGTGATGGGGTCAAGATTTCAGAGTGGGGAGGTTGGCTCAGGCTCTAAGACAGGGGTTGGGGTGTTATGCTGGGATGGGGGTGTTGGGGTGGCAGAGAGGGTTGGCATGGGATGCTAGCTTGGGCTCTGACAAGGAGCTGTATATAGGTTGGGGGCTGGGGGGAGCTGGGGGATGGGAGCGGGGTCCCCACTGCCCTCCTACCATTTTGCCGCCAGCGCTGGGGGCTCACAGGGCCCAGCTGGATCCTCCTCCTCCCGCCCCCGGCACCCAGGGCCGGGCCGCTCCATGAAGCGCCGCGCTGGGGGGGCCCTCGGGGACAGGGACACAGACCTGTACCTGGACCTCCGGCCTCCTCGCTGCCCGGGCCCCCGGGGCCGCCCCCCAGCTCAGCGCCTGGGGCATGGCCCCCCCGGCTGGGGGAGGGGATGGAGAAGAGGGGGAGGGGAAGAGGCTGGAGCCAGAGATCCGGGGCGGGGGGGATGCAGGGAGGCTCAGAGCCCCGCGCCGGGACCCGCACTCATCCCGGCTGGGCGGCGCAGCAGCGGGAGCCGCGAGCGGAGGCCGGAGATGGATGCGCGGCCGGCGGAGAGATGCAGGCAGCCGGGGCCGCGCGCGGAGTCCGAGCCTCTGCGGTGGTGGTGGCGGCGGCGGCGGCAGCGGCAGCGGCTGAAGCCTCCCCGGCCCCGAGCCCCGGATTGGAGGCTCCGCATCAGATGGGGCGGCCGTCTGGACGTTTAAAGGGACAGGCCACCTTTTCCGCCGGCTCCGCGGGGCGCGCAGTGAGTCGGGAACGGGGGAGTGGGGAGGGGAGGACACGCGTGGCGCACTCAGCCCACGCCCACCCGCTCCCGCCCCACGCTCTCGGGAATGGGGAGATGGAGGCTGGGGAATCTCAAAGACCTGGTCACCTGGCTGGACACATACGCCCCGGGGGCGAGTGACGGGTGGTGTCCAGAAGGAGGACCAGGAATCTGCGGGGAGGGGGTGGGGTTGGAAGGGAACGGAGGTCATATGACCCATCCTCCACCTCCCGTTCAGAGGAGCATCTGAGTAGCTTTGTGACCTTGGGCAAGTCCCTTCCCCCCACGGGGCCTCAGTTTCCTCCTTTGCAAAATGAAGGGGTCGGACTCACGTCTCCTTCCAGTTCTGACATTGTGTGAAACCCATGAAGTGTGTTTAATCTCCAATCCCATGCCTGACCAGCTGCTGGGAAGTTCCTTCTAGGTCTAACCTTTTCTTGCCTCTCTGGAACTTCATTCCTTCAAAGGCCAGCTCCAGACGGCATTGCCAGGCCCTACGTCCCACCTCCCATTTCCCTCAAAGCTCCCTCCTTCCCTTGTCCGCCTCCAAGCCTTTACAGACAAGAACTCCCCATTGCAACCTTGGATTACAGTTCGGACTTTTGTTCTCATTCGTGTGTGTGTGTGTGTGTGTGTGTGTGTGTGTGTGTGTGTGTGTGCGCGCGCGCGCGTGTATGTACCGTCTCCCAAGCAGATGAGGTGTTCCCTTCCAACTGGGAAATTTCTGTCTTTAATCTGCTGTGGGGTGGGGTGGGTTTGGGGCGGGGCACAGACAGAAACGTGCACACAAGAAGGGTGTACTCTGCGGAGGTTTGCTTACTGGTCCTGATGCTCCTTGCCTAGTACACTTACCACAGACCCTGATCGGCTTTAACAAGCCAGGGGAACACGTCAATCATCAGACACAGATTGAGTCAATGTAGAGGAAAGAACCTGGGGGATCTTGGACAAGTCCTTTCCCTTTTCTCCGTTTATTTGTAAAATGAGGGGGAGGGGATTCTCACAAATCCCTAACAGCTCTGACATTCATTTTACAAGGGAGCAGACTGAGATCCAGGGAGGGGAAGGGACGTGCCCATAGTCCCAAAGCTAATAAGAGGCTCTTTTCTGAAGTCCTTCCATATTTCATGGCTCTATAACCCATTCATACACTAGGGTATTTTCACTACGGGAAAACCCTTAAGACAAAAGAATGAAGCTCTAATAGTTGGATTTCAAGAATTAGTAAGCAGGTGGGAAAGACATTTCAGAAATAGGGTAGTAGCCTCCCTTCCTACAAATAAGAGCAATCCTGGAGGTAATTTTCATTCTTCTCCCCTTCTCGATCATCTTCTTCCATTGGGTGGCTGGTACTCCTCCATGACCTGCCTGGATCTGGCATCTGAACTCCTGTCCCATGTGCCCAAATGCCTGGTGGACAGTTTTGAACTGGGTGATCCACAGCACTTCAAAGCCACCGTGCCCCAAATAAGACTCAATGTCCCAAATTGCCCCAAAGCCACCCCTTTTTTGAACTTCCCAAAGGTGTCACCATTCTTGCAGTCACCCAATCTCAAAAGCTGTGTCATCAGTGACTCCTCACTCTCAGCCCTCGTATCCAATCAGCTGCCAAATCTTGTCATTTCTACCTTCACAATATTTCTATGGTACAAGTCCCCTTCTCTCCACCCACACAGCCACTACCCTAATTTGGGCCATCATCTCCTCTCAACTGAGTTATTGCCATAGCTTTTTATTGCAATAGTTTCCCCACCTCAAGTCTCGTCATATCCTAATTCATCCTCCACACAGCTGCTAAAGTGATTTTCCTAAAATATAGGTCACTCCCCTACTCAATAAACTCCAGTGGCTCCCTATTACCTCTAGGATCAAATATAAACTCTGGCATTTTAAAAGCCCTTCATAAGCTGCCCCCAACCTACCTTTGTAGACTTATTACACATTTATAATACTTATTATGCATCCCTTTTATGAACTTTTTGGTCCAGTAAATCTGTCTTCTCACTGTGTCTCCTGGAGGGTACTCCATTTCCCAATCTCTGTGCCTTTGCATTGGCCATCCCCCATGCTTAGAACACATTCTTCCTTCATTTCTGCCTCTTAGAATCCCTACTGTCTTTCAAGAGTCACCTTAAATGCCACCTTCTCCATGAAGCCATTACCCAGCTGCTAGCACTCAGCCCACCAATATATCTACACACACACACACACACACACACGTTTCCCCCAACTCAGTGGAAGCTACTAAAGAACAGGGACTGTTTCATTTTCATCTTTGTATCCCCAGCATATGGTAAGTACTTAGTAAATGCTTTTTGACTGGTACAGTAGCCACTGATAGATCCCACCCCCCTTTAACACAAATACCACATATCCTCGGTGTCCTCACAACCACAAATGTATCTGTTCTGTGGGCATGTCACATATGGAGTCCATGAAGGAACCCGTGTGTGTAATACACGCCTCACTACAGAGCCGGTGCCATATAACTGGGCTGTTCATTAGGGCCCTGTGCCTGCTCAGTCTCAAAGAAGAAAGTCATGAAGACCCCAGAGAACAGGAGGGATGCTGAAATCTACAGACAGAGCCAGAAAGACAGATGGTGCCCTGAGTGCTGAGTCTGAATTAACACATTTGGGTCTGGTTACCTCAGTACTTAGCACAGTGCCCGAGAGGATGGCATTCCAGATTCAGAGAAAACGGTTTCCTAGCAATAGGTTGTTCCCTAGTCCTAGACACAGGTTGGCTTCTCATCTGGATCCCAGGGTGAGTCCTGAGCCTGGGACAGGGGATGAGCCTGAACCCTGGTCACAGACTGGGCCCTTATCTCACCAGTGAATTCAAGAAAGAATGAATTCAGTTAGAGGTTAGTAAAAATAAGATGAATTTCCACCCTCCATCCCAGCTAAGGACCCTAGAACTGAAGATCTCAAAGGTCCTTCCCACCTCTAAATCTCCGATCCTTGTAACTTCCTGATGAGGTGAGAGTCAGAGAAATAGGGATAATTAAAAATAAAATAATTATAAATGATCTATAGAGGCCTGGGGAGGAGGCAGAGAGGAGGGAAGGCCCTGGGCAATGCAAGGAGAAGAGTCCTTTGACTCTTATGTGAGGGACAACATTTAGACTGGTTTCCCCATCCAGAGCCCGGGTAGAAGGGGAGCGCCTGAAGGGAAGCTCTGTCTTAAAGACAATCAGTGGCGACCTGGACAAGAGGGACCCTTCACTGGGGTCAAACTTAGCTCTTCCTGTTCATACACCACCTAACACTTTTCCAAAACTTTCCCATTCTATTGGGTCCTCATGGCACCCCATTTGACAGAAGAGTAAACTGCGGCTTAGAGGGAGAGGTGACTTGCCCTTGGTCACCACAGAGACTTAGTGGCAGACCTGGAGCTGAAAGTCTAGTCTCCTGACTCCCCGGCCTGGGCTCTTTTCCAGGCAGCCTCTCTAATCTCCTCCTCTCTATTCCTCTTCCATTCCCCCTCAGTCCCTCCTTGCTGCCAGCCAGCTGCATGCAGGGGGGTGGGGAGGAGATGACAGAGGTTTCCAAAGAGGCCATGCAGAATATTGCTGGCTGGGGGGGAGGGGGGAGAACCGCCTGACTCTAGAGAAAGCCAAAGAGCTCTCCTCTATGCCCCCCCAACGGCCTGACACACCCTGGCCTGTCCCCAACCTCCCACTGCCCCCAAACTAAAGGGGGGGAGGGTGGAGAGAGGATAGTGTAATAAAAGGACCCATTTCTTCCAGCTGGGAGGAAGGGAGTGGGGAGAATAATGCTGATTTTTGGCATCACCAGACCTGTCCAGAGCCAAAGGAAGCCAGAGGAACAGGGAAAGTTAAGCTGGCCGTGGAGGGACTGGGAGGCCTAAGGGGACTTGGGGGAGAAAGGAAGAGATGCACACTGGACCATCAAACCCACTGCCCTCCACCCCCACCTCCAAGCTGTCCTGTTCCAATAAATCAACCATAGGGACAGCTAGGTGGTGCAGTGGATAGAGTGTTAGACCAGGAGACGGAAAGACCTGAATTCAAATCCTTATTAGTTGTGTGACCCTGGCAAGTCACTTTACTTCTGTTTGCCTCAGTTTCCCCAACTATAAAAATGAGGACAATAACAGCACCTACCTCCCAGGGTTATTGTGAAGATTGAGATGACATTTGTAAAGCACTACTAGGCACAGCACCGGTCACATAGTAAGTGCTATATAAATGCTTACTCCCTTCCCTTCCCCTTCCCCATTGCCCTCAGCGAGCTCCCTGGGAGATGCAAGCCCAGGCTAGACTGGAACCTTTTCATTGGCAAAGGCCAGGGAGGCCAAGCCAGGACCTTACAGAGGGCGTACATGGGCAGCGTGACTGGGCGTCTCTGGAAGCGGAGACCTAGAGCACGAGCACTGGCTAAAGGGAGCTGGGACTGTCAGCCAGCAGCTCCAACCGTAGCCTCCCCAGGCTCAGCCTCTTCCAGCTCGGAATCAGGAGGATTTTCTGGCCTGCTGCTGCTCCCTAGAGGTTAATGCGAACAGAGCTTGGTTCAGGGAAGAAGAAAGGAGGAGGCTGACTCAGGGAAAGAGGAATCCAAGGCAGGCCAGGGGCCCAAGTCTCTCTTTTTCCTTCCTCCTCCTTCTTTTCCTATTCCTTGCCTCCCCCCAACCCCTCCCATCACCTTTGTTCCAGGCCTATGCCCACACTCAGTTATCCGCATAGGTTGGAATCCCAGCATCCAGAAGGCTGTACTGCCTATGACAGGCACTCAGCAAATGCTTGTCAAAATCATTTGAATTGGGTGTGTTAAAGTCCCTCTCTCCCCTCAGGGCCCGAATCACATCCAGCCTCCTATCTGAAGCCTTCCCGGATCTGTGCCCTCCCTAC